CCCAACTGAGTAGCCTGAGAATGCTAGCTGAAAGGATGACTGAGATGATGGAACTCCCTTGCAGCTGCCTTGTCCTGGGGTACTTTAGGAGGTTAAGAAAGCAGCTGGGGGCCAACCAGATGTCCCCGAGGCTCTCCCTTTATGTCCGACGACATGTTCTGAAAATGAACATTAAACAGTGATGATAAACTATAGCTTCAACATAACTGACAGGTTGTAATGGTTTATAAAACACATTTACATATGTGGTTCATTTGATCTTTATGATAACCCTGTAAAATATTCTCATTTTCAGTTAACAAATGAGAAAACTCAGATTCAGATAGGTTGAACCAGCCAAATTTACCTAGTAAGAGTCTACTCAAACCTAGGTCTCCTAACTTCTAGCTCATTAGTCTTTCCACCACTTCAAATAATACAAAGAAGGCTAAAATTACCCTTCTCACTTCATCCCCCACGCCTTATCCAGCTCTGACCTGTAGCATTAACCTCTGTCAAGAGTTGGTGAGCAATCTTTCAGAGCTTAGCAGTTACATACGTGTGCGTATATATAAAATATTACGTTTCTTTGTATATGATATAGTGCTCTCTAACAAATATAATCTTATTATACATATTGTTCTGCAACTTTATTTTTTTTAACTTAGTTATAGGTTTTAGACCTATCGATGTATTTAGATCTGTCCTGTTCTCTTTAACTAGCATAGAGAATTTTTAAGTTACGTCAGGCAATTCTATCTATAGATGATTTACACTAAAAAATAGAAATTTAAAAGTTTATTTACCTACCTGGCCTGATATTTTGCTGCTGACTTAAAAGGAGGGAAAACCAGTGCAGTAAGAAAAAAGCAGAGTATGAGATTCAGACCTTATGAGTGTTTTTCTAAACTATTAATTCACTCTCAGGCAGCACTCAGCAGAAAAGAGAAACCATCAGCCTACGAAACCCCTACCTGGGTTCTAGTAAGGGCTACTCTGCAGATCCTGCCCAGGGCCAGCCTTCCCCAGAGCCAAAGCAGCAGGGCGGCCGCCTGAACACAGGAGCCCAGCTCATCTTCCAGCACGTGCAGGCACTGCTGGTCAAGCGATTCCACCATGCTCTCCGCAGCCACAAGGACTTCCTGGCCCAGGTATTCCCGACGGTCTTTGCCCGTCCTTGGTGGCTCCTGGCCAGGGCCGGCTGGCTCTCTCCTGGCCTCTCTATCCCCTCCCAGGCTTTTCTGTGAACATGGGCTCAAACACAGCCGGGAGCACTCTCTTTAAGTTCTTTCGACTTTGTTTCCTCCTTGCCAACCTTTATTTCGATTCTTGGTTAACACTAAGATTCTCTGTAAGTACTCCACCTCACTTAGCAGAGAAAATGGAATAATAATGAACACGTTAATATTGTTGCTATTTTTACAATGAAGGATAAAGTCATGTTTTTATTCATTTTTGCAATGACCCTAAATATCAAGGTCCTCATCCTATTTTTTTCTTTTTATGTTTTTTTATTCAGAAAAAGAAACTCTGATTCACCTCTAGCCAAACAGTGGTCTGCTTCAGTGCCCAGTGTTGGCCTATAGTCAATTCTGCTTTCTCCTACACATCTTGCCTTTGCACGTGCTGTCCATAATGTTCCCCAGAAACCTGACTTTCCACCAGGGCCTGGTTATGAGGCTTCAGGATAAATGTTTAAAAGAATAAACGTGTGTGAGTGTGTGTGTGTGCATGGGCGAGTCTTTCACACACCACAGACACACAGCCCATTCTCCATGTTTATTTCCCCACAGATCGTGCTCCCAGCGACTTTTGTGTTTCTGGCTCTGATGCTTTCCATCATCGTCCCGCCGTTTGGTGAATACCCTGCTTTGACCCTTCACCCCTGGATGTATGGGCAGCAGTACACCTTCTTCAGGTGTGTAGACTCATCCTCAGAGGTCATCATTCGCCTCTGTGGATTGTGAGGCTCTAGGTCACATGCTATTTGATGGAGCCCTGACCTTCCCGCTCCCTGGACAGTCACCAATGTGGTAGGAGTTCTCGGGCTGACCTCAGAAAGGAAATTAAGGTAACTCCCATTTGGGAAAGGTGACCCCAAGTGGACAACCAGGACTACCAAGAGAAAGAAAGACAAAGTAAAGATTGGGCGAGTGGTCGAAGCTCTGTCTTTGTGAGGTGCAGACATGACATGCCATCAGATCCCTAGGCGTTCTTACCCAGGAGACCTATGACCACCCCCACACAGCATTTTGTGCTTTGTGTACATACCTAGCACTCAGCAGCCATTCTATAAATGTTGGTTGAGTTGCATGTTGGCTGCTTTGCCCCTCTTTCTCAGTCACGTGTCCACTGAGTAAGCCCCTCTCACGTTGTCTAGCATGGACCAGCCAGGCAGTGAGCGGCTCACAGCACTTGCAGATGTCCTCCTGAACAAGCCAGGCTTTGGCAACCGCTGCCTAAAGGAAGAGTGGCTTCCGTAAGTCCTTGCACACCCCTGCCCTAACAGCAACAGCTGCCATGGGAAACCCAGATGATGGGGTACCAGGATGGCGGGATTGGGATAGGCCCCATCTCAATCCATCTCCCTGGTCAGTGTTCACCCAGCCTCTCCTTCAACACCTGTATATGAGGGTGTTCACTACTTCTCATGAAGCCTCTGCATCACCAGACAGCTCTATGTTTCTATAATTCCCGGTATCAAAAGTTCCATACTGTATTGACATATGCTTCCCACAACTTAATTGAAAGGAATCTGAACAGGGGGAGGAGAGTGGTGGGGATGTGCTGTTGTGCACTCAGACCTAGAATGGCATTAATTACAAATACGGCCAACTTTCAATTATTGCTGTAAGTACAGAGAAAGGAGTTATAGAGGACAGTTGAAATCTACCAAGAATCCTAAAAGTTCAGTATAATTTTATCTGATTCTCTTATTCAGTCTTTTTCTGGGCTGTTGATAAGAGCAAAAATAGACTAATTTCAAATTCCTCTTTTGTTTGTTCTGTCTCTCAACAGCTAGAGCAGCCAGAGGAAAAAAGAGATAAAACTGACCACACACTAGATAATTACTGCCCAGCCCCAGACCTAGTCAATCAACACATTCCTAGTCTTGATTTTTCTTGAGCAGAAACTAACCTTCAGGCATGTCAGAAGAAAATGCATGTGTCTGAGAACAGGAAGGAAAGGCTATAAAGGGGAGGGTTGGGCACTGTTTCTCATTTCTAGGGATTTTTTTATCAACTTTGGAGCTGACTGTGAAACATTTTCTTGTCTTCCATGAGGGAGTACCCCTGTGGCAATTCCACCCCCTGGAAGACACCCTCTGTGTCCCCAAACGTCACCCACGTGTTCCAGAAGCAGAAGTGGACGCCAGAGCACCCCTCGCCTTCCTGCAGGTGCAGCACCAGAGAGAAGCTCACTATGCTCCCCGAGTGCCCGGAGGGCGCAGGGGGGCTCCCACCCCCGCAGGTACCGCCACCCTTCATGGGAATCCCGGGGCCTCGAATCTGCCTGCGACAGCGGGGTTTGGGGAACATGTATCGTGACTCCTCAGTTTCTAGCCAACTAACACTTTCAACTGACAGCTGAGTGAAGGACTAAATGAGGCTCCCAGGCCTCTCAGCAGGGCTTTCCACTGGGCCCTGTCCAGCCACTTGGAGGAAGTCATCTACCAATAGCTTCCGTTGCCACCAAACACTCTCTGGTCAATTTAGTAAGAAAATATGTTTAAACATTGAAAAAATTATACATCATGCATGCTCATTATAAAAAAATTAGAAAATACAGATAAGTCAGAAGAAAAAATTATCCTATTGCTTGGAGAATATCACCAATAACATTTGGTTTTTATCCATTCAAACTGGATTTTATTTAAAATGTTGCCTTGAAACTTGCTATTTTCACTGACCAGCATATTATGAACATATGTCCATGTCAGTAAATATATATCTGTGTCGTCGTTTTTAATGCCTGCATACTATCCCACTGTTTGGATTTGCTTTATTTTATTTCACTAATCTCTTATTCTTGGACCTGTGGGTTTTCAATTTTTCTCCATTATAAGCAATGTTGTAGTGTCCATTCAAATGCATATGTATTTGCACACTTATTAACAATTTTAATTAAGAAGCTTGCCATGTGCTGTGAACTAACATGCACACATGCGCGCACACACACACACACACACACACACACACAGCCAGCAACCTATGTTTTGCAGGGACATCAACTATCATGGCTTTGAGCAGCACCCACTCTAATGTATCTCAGTGAGCCTCTCCCATGGCTCTCAGAGACAGAAGGGGCCAGAGGAGTCTCACTTTGTCTTAGGTTAATAACTGTCCTCCCAGCTGACTTGCACAGAGTGGGTCTTTACGCGGCCATCTCTAATGATTTGCCAGTAAATGAATGATTCCAAGAGAGGCAGTGTGACATAGTGGCAAGAGCACAGGCATTGGCATCAGAGAGTCATGGGTTGGTTACTTGGCCTCTCTGAACCTTAATTTCCTCACTTATAAATTGGGGATAATGATAATTTATTTCATAGCGTTATTGTGAGAATTCAATGAAGTAATGTGGGTAAAGAAACTGTATTAGTTAGAATTAGATTTGACTCAATGATGATAACCCAAAACAAACAGTGGAGAAAATAAGACATACTTCGTTTCCCTCTCAAGTAAAAGTCCATGGAGGTGGTCCGTGATGCTCTGCTTGCTGCTCTTCCGTGGTTAACAGGCCTCAACCTCATTGGCCAAGATGACAGAATCTACTTTCCAAGAAACAGAGTGGAAGTAGGGATAAAGAAAAAGAGAGGGCAAAGTGTGTAGATATGCTGTCTTTTAAGGAAGATTTCCAGAAGCTACTACACAGCACTTTCATTTATACATCATTGGCCAGAACTGAAAGTCAAGGGAGATCAGGGACTGTAGTCTTTATTCTAGGTGGCCTTGTACCCAATAAAAAGTTTATTACTACGGCACATAGTAGAAGAGCAGAGCAAGTAAGGGGACCACTAAATTTTTCCATAGCATCAATCACAGTTGCTGCCTTGCAAATGATTCTGTTTATGAGCATTCTGTCTTCCTTTTTTTATATGCCAAAAGCATATACCTTTATATTTCTCAAGCAATGTATTTTTCCTTGAATCATAACTCAGCCACTGTAATATCACAGGGATTCCAAAAAGAGAAACTCAGGGAGTTTGTCCCAACTCTCTATACCCTAAGAAGAAACTTTACTTCTGTTGAGTTGGCCAAGGCTGCTTCTACTCTAATACATCCAGCATCAGGCCACAAAGGCTGTGACACTGCACGTTGAGTTCTTGGCTAGGGCAGGAAGGAAAGGCCAAGAGGAGCTACGTGGAGATTCATTTTCTCGGTGAATTCTAACTTTAAGGCTGCCTATCTAGCTTATAGAAACTTATTTTTCAGTGGTTAGTCCTTGGTCCTTGGAGAAAAAAAAATTAACAGGCCACTATAGCCAAAGTCCTGAAAAAAGGCAAATCAGTTCCCATGATTTTATTTCACTCCCATATTTCCTCACTATCATTTGTTCCTCTCTTGGGAGCAAAATTGAACATCACGCATCTGCACAGGAGCTGCTTCCTCTCTCTTTTCAGCCTCTGTCTCTATCTCTGTCTCTCTGTCTCTCTCTGTCTCTGTCTCTCTCTCTGTGTCTCTCTCTCTCTGTGTCTCTCTCTCTCTCTCTCTCTCTCTCTCTCTCTCTCTCTCTCTCTCTCTCTCTCACACACACACACACACACACACACACACACACACATTCATATTTATACCCATTCCCTCAAACATACTCTCCTATTCAGCCTAGAATTAAGCCAGAGGATATGGGCTTGGTTCAGATGTAGTAAATTGTCCTCACCTGGAAAACAGGGTGGAGGATACAGTCTTCTCTAGGGTCCTTCTTGTCACAGCATTCTTTGAGTAGTGTTAGGTCCTGAGGTGGAAGTGTTCTGTCCCTGACTTCTAGAATACATAGAGTTAAAGTTGTAGGAATATTTTATTTAACACAATTTTTAGGAAACAATTTATCATATACTTCCCAGGCACCAGAAATTGTTCCAGCCTAGATTCCACTAGGGGAGCTTGGCAGTTCCTCTGGGTGCTATTTTCAGCTTAAAAAACAGGGCGATGGAGTGAAAAGGGTGAAGGCTATGGAGTCAGACAGGTGTAGGTTCAAATCCTAGGTCAACCACCTACAGATGCTGCAACATGGTGCAAGTTAGCTAACCTTCCTGAACCTCACTTTCTCTGTCTGTAAATTAAAGTAATAATTTCTCTTCCATAAGGGTATGAGAATCAAGGGATATATTATAACGTATATAGAGCATTTAACAGTGCCTGGCACATGGCAAGCATTCAGTAGATTCTAATTCTCTGCTAGCATGAGAGAGAAGAACAAGGTAGAGAAAGTGAATTGAAGAAGTAAAAATGGGAAAGGGGAAAGTGGAGATGGAAAGTGTATAAAAATAATAAGAATGGTGAGTGATGATGGCGGCTTTAACACCACCAAAAATTACCTCAGCTACCTTTATACCCAAGGTTTCTGACTGACCCTAAACCAAACACTATTTATTCCCAAATTTAAAGGAGTATTGCCACCTGGTGGCCGAGTTCATGCTCTTTTGAATTCTCCAAAGTCACCCATTAACTAGCTTCCAATCCTGGATATATTTTGAAGTGATTTGTAATTGTAAGTCACTGTTTGAACTCTTCCATTTATGCCGCAAATTTATTGTTTCAGCCATATGCCAAATACTATTCTGGATGCTGGGGACACAACAGCTAATAAGTCAGAGGAAGTTCTGACTCTCACGGAATTTATATCAAATGGATGTAACAGACAAAAACAAATAAACAGATCGATTAGAAAGAAAATTTCAGAGGAAGATGTGAAAATAATAAACAGTATGTTATGATAAAGAGTGACTAGAAATAGAAAATACCTCTCTGAGGAATAAAATTTGGGCTGAGATTTGATTAACGAGCTAGCCATATGAGGTTGTCCAGGCAGAGCATTCCAGACAGAGGGAAGCACAAGTGCAAAGCCACCTGAGGAATAAGAGGTACGCATTTGAGAAACAAGGAGAATAAGTAGGGGCAGTGAGGAGGAGGAAGAGAGTGGCAGCAGGCGAGGTCAGAGAGCAAGGCAGGGCCAGGTCACGGGGGCTGCATCAACCTTGGTGATGAATTAGGATCTGGTCCTAGGGTTTATTGGAGTATGGTAAGCAAGGTGACTAAGGTCTCTGATTTACATTTTTAAAGCTCAATCTGGCTGCTGGGTAGAGAATGGATTATGGAGGGCCAAGAGTAGAATCGGGGAGACCAGTTTGGAAGTCGCTATCGAGGTCCAGGTGCAGTGTAGATAGAGGCTTGGGCTAGGGTGGTGGTAGTGGAAATGGAGAGATGCAGATGTATTAGAGATTTAATTTGGAGCTAGAGCTATTCTATCTTGTCAACAAATTGAAGAAAGATCAACGATGAGTCCCATATCATTGATGTGGGAACCAGAGAGATGCCAGTGCTTTATTCAGTAGCTTCATTTCCAAGCAGCTGAATCCATAAATAACTTTTGGTGGAGAACAAGCAGTTTCGCAAACTGTAAAGCCTCAAATGCCAAAGTAATTGACACTATTGTCTCATTTCCTCAGAGAGTACAGCGAAGCACTGAAATTCTCCAAGACCTTACAGACAGGAATATCTCTGACTTCTTGGTAAAAACATATCCCGCTCTTATACGCAGCAGGTGAGAAGAGATCCTTTATGCTTTTCATCCTGACTCCCTATAGAAAATACTGACCAGGGTCAGAGAAAATTTATTCTCATGATTTCTCAACAATCGGGGCAGTGGAATTTTTTTCTTTTTCCTAATTCGTAGGCCTCACCCAACAGGAAAAGCCATTGAGGCATATACAAGTAAAAGGCAATTTAATATTAATTTTGTTATTGTTTTTTGTTTTGTTTGGCCAAGTAGTCTTAAAGTTTAACCCATGAACTATTACAAGTAAAATAAGAAAGTATAAAGTTTATCCAATAATGCAACCTCATATTTTAACTAGTTAAGAGAGAAAAGGTTGGGAGGAAGGTGGGGTGGTAAGGGGGAAAAGTTAGAGGAAAACAAACAAACAAAAAAAAAAGGAAAAGTTAGAAGCAAAAAGGAAGAAGGGAAAAATTAGATCAAGCTAGGATAGAGGTAATGGGTTACTGCCTGAGTGAGCCCACAGATTGGCCAGGTTAACTGTACCAGTCATACTCCAACTGTAAATTATCATCTGTATCACTAACCTTTAATATGCCAGTAAACTCCTGTATAAGTGTCTACTTCTCTCAGCTCTGCAGCTGTTCTTAACAAGCCTCAGCTGGGGTTGGACTGGTTTCAGCAGCCCCTATCAGAGCAAGCAGCTTGAAAAGAGCATGTTACAGAGAAAACATCATAGGGACCCCTGATCCAGGCTTCATGTGCTCTAAAATAAAACGAACTGTCTAATTTTAGTAGCACTTTTCAGTTGCTTCCCCTACCAGAGCCATGCACAAGGAATAAATGGGCTCAATTAGCTAGAACACACTGCAGATGGTGAAAGCAGCTGCCGAGAAGGCAGTGCCAGCCCAGCACAAAAATAAAAGCAGAGTGCATAGAATTTATTCAATAATGCAGTAAACAACAACCATCCCAAACTTCATTCTCAGCAGCAAATCTGCAATATGGAATTTTGGCTTTTGTGCTTGATGACAATGATAGCTTGTGGGCCTGAACTATGAGGTCTGGAGTTCTTAGTTACAGCTTCTCATCTTATATCTTGTAATTTTATCCCTGATTGGCTGGAAGTCAGTCTCTGAATTTGGGATTGGGAGTAAGTCAGAACTTCACCCAAGTGTGCAGGTGATTATTAGAACCTCATTTGTACAGGCGGAAGAGAAGAAGGCTGCACCCTACACTCCACACTGGTATCGTAGTTGCCATGTTGTCTAGTTTCAGATGGTCTGACGAATGACCTGACAACAGAAAGCCCAGCATGTGCGGTGTGACTTGGAGAGCCAGCAGTGGAAAACATCATTCCTTTTTCTGCATGTGTTCAGGCTTGGCTCCTGGGCTGGGAGGTTTTCATATTGCTTGGAAACGCAAAAATGCCCCCAGAAGACTGAGACACCTCAATGAATGTCTGCAAAAGAAAGTTAATTCTACTACCATCCTTGTGGTATTTATTGTATGATTTGTTTTCCCTTTCAGCTTAAAGAGCAAATTCTGGGTCAATGAACAGAGGTAAGAAGCTATTTTTATAAAACATCAAATTGATCTATTTTAAATACTCGTGCATAAAAAAAAGCCACACTTCAAAGCGTTGTAAATGGAATGTTTCTGTATGTGCTCAGGAAGTCACAAGACACATTCTGAAGGATATATGGCTAGGAAAACACTGGACCAAGAAGATGCTCAGTAGTAGGTCTCCTTGGAGTACAGAGAGTACAGTGTTAGTCCCTGAAGACTTATTCCAGATCATTCTCGCTCAAGGGAGGTTCTAAAAGCTCAGAGTGGAAAATAGTTTACAATGCTAATGAGAGGACATGTGACTCATTCCTTTTAAGTCTTAGGGGGTCTGGCCCAGCCCCAGACTTAGCCAGTTCCTGGAAACTCAAGTGATTCCAGAGTTTTGGAGAATCGTCCAGGCTCCCTCAGTAATGGGGCCTCTAGAATGAATGCAGAACTAACGTTGTCTTGATTCTAAACCATAAAAGTGAAATCCAGCTTTTAGAATTGCTCCCTAGGGAGAAGTATGGGGTCTTAGCTGGAGCAGAAAGTTGAGGGACAGGGGATAATTTGAGTCCCTAAGAAATAAAGTTCACCAAGTTAATTTTGTTTTATAAAGGAGTTTGGCTTTCATCCTGCCATTGAAGGATTTTAAGCCAGAGTGTGAACGCCCAGATCTGTGTTTGAGCACAGTCTCTTGAGACTTCCACAGCAGTGTGGAAGATGGGTTAGAGTGGGAGAGGCCCAAGGCTGGGATCTCGGTCAAGGAGCTAGAGCTTGAGTCAAGGCAGGAGATGGTGAGGGGCCGCCTGAGGGAGGGTGGAGTTGAGAGGCACTGAGAGATAGGCACGGCAGGATTGGTCCTGTTTAGATTAAGGTGAGTCCAGTGCTACCAGAAGTACCTGTAAAGTACAGAAGTGGCACAGGAAAGGGATCATTGTTAGGATGGAGGAGAGTCAGGGAAGTCTTCAAAGAGGTGACATATGATAGATCAGTTAGAGTTGGCCTGATACTCAAGAAAGGGAAAGGCAATCCCAGGAAGCTAGCAGCCCTGTAAAGGTAACCCAGACCATTGGAGGTTCTGGAAGTGGTTGGACACAGCCAGAATATGCCACTCAAGGAAAGGCATGAGGAGGGGTTGGAGAGATAAGCAGAGATCAAGCTCAGAAGGGATCAGGATTTCATCCAGAGACAATGAGGAAACATTAAAAGTTGGTTTATAAAGTAGAGCAATGTCACTCGCTAGTCTAGACAATTTCCCAAAAGTACACATTTTCCTACAGAAACTAGAGAGCTACTGGCAAGCACAGAGCACCACAGACATGGTTCGTGTCACTGACCTGGGGACCTCTTATTCCCTTGTCAGGTACGGAGGAATTTCCATCGGAGGAAAGCTGCCAGTTCTCCCCATCACTGGGGAAGCACTTGTTGGATTTTTAAGCGACCTTGGCCAGATAATGAATGTTAGCGGGGTATGTAAACAGACTGGAGATTTGGTTATGACTTTCAACATGCCATGAAACAAAAATTATCATGAGTGCTAACAGGTTAAAAAAAAAGAAAGAAAGAAAACTCTCTTGCTTGTTTATTATGGTTTTCTAGGGCCCTATTACAAGAGAGGCATCTAAAGAAATGTCTGCTTTCCTCCAACATCTAGAAACTGAAGACAACGTTAAGGTACTGGCCCTGCAAAATCTGCCCTAGAGCTAAAAACTCACGTGAGCTGGTTACTTTATTTTTATTTTCCCAGCTTAATTAAATTCCACCCCTTCTCCTGTTGAAATCTAGCATGGAATGCCTTCCAGCTGCCAAACCGTCCCTCCTCTTCACATTCTTTTTCCTGCAGTTCATTTTTGTTTTAAACAGCTGTTGTTAGCGCAGGGCCTCTGGTGTCCTGTCTAGTACAGCCTAACAAAGCCTATCTCCACCCTCTAGGTGTGGTTTAACAACAAGGGCTGGCATGCTATGGTCAGCTTTCTCAACGTGGCCCACAACGCCATCTTACGGGCCAGCCTACCCCAGGACAGGAACCCCGAGGAGTATGGCATCACCGTCATAAGCCAGCCCCTGAACCTGACCAAGGAGCAGCTCTCAGAGATTACAGTGTAAGCCACCACGGTCCCCCACCTCACAGCTTTTTTTGTTACCCTCTCTTCTCTTTGGAGACCGAGAGAGGATTTTCTTTCATTCACATGAGCTGCTGGGCTGGATGGCAACGTCGTTTAATCAGGCAAATGTGAACATAAGACTTTCAACACTTGTATACCAAACTACTTGGCCATTCTTTCTCCTCATATTTCCCAGGAAAGTAAATATATAGTTGGTTCTGTTCTCTTTTGGCTCTTGATAAGAAGTTGCTCCTGGAGCTTACACAAATATTCTCCTTTCCAGTATGCAAAATGACTGCTGGGAACTGGGAAAGTTCAGTAAATCCTTCATCTCCTCAGCAGTAATTATCTTAGATTCCAGTAATTTCCCTCAGATGGTCCGGCTTTGGAGATGTCGACAGATCCTTGCCTTCTGCAAGCTTAGGCTCTTACCATGTGGCTTCAGGCAGTAGAAACATCGGTCTTGTGCAAGTTGTAGTACGTTTGTAGCATACTTAGTGGGAATGCCTTCATTAGTGCAAACTTCTGGTACACGGAAGGGTCCTTGTTTTCCTATCTCAGTATACTGTGAGCACCCTCAACCCTGGGCCTGGAACATTTCAAGTGCCGTTGGCTACAAGTTGGGCCCTGGCTCCTTGGAGCCTTCCTCTGAAAACACTCTGGGACCCTTGACCGAGGAAGAATAGTCTGTCCTGGGTTTATTCTCACTCAGCCCAAGTTTCTATACCCCCTGCCAAGTCTTTTGAATCTGAAATATGAAATAAGAGTCTTTTGTGATTATAAAATAGTAGATGTTCATTAAGTAAAGTTTAGAAAATACAGTTCTAAGAACTTATTATATCTATAACCGTACACGGTTTAGGATGTTTCATCTAAATATTTTTGTGTGTTTCCCTTCCAGTCATTTGTTCTACTCTTACTACACGTGGGGGTCACGCTGTCTGTAGTTTTATCAGGATAGACACTAGCACATATGGTGCCTTTGTGGGAATTAGTAAAAGGTGTTTCTTCTTCTAAGTGGGCACTGTCCCACATGAGGGGTCATAGATTGTATGTGAGGTCAGGTTGGATTTCAGCCCACACTTGCCCCCTTAGCCAGATGCTTTCTTCTTGATCCAGAAAAGGGGGAATAGAACCAAGTCCTGTATAACTGGCCTGTTCTCTTTGCACTTAAACTTACATGAAAAATATTTCCCATGTTATGATGTGTTTTTTGAAAACATGTTTTAACATGGTAATTTACTTCTTTTAACAACAACGAATAATAAAACTTCATAGACCATAAGTGACTGTCTACATAGAAAATTCAAGAGAATCTGTAGACAAATTATTAGAACTGATAAGAGCATTACAGTATATGAGACCAATACAAAAATTCATTTCTATATACCATCAACAAATAATTTCGAAATGTAAAAAAAGAGAAAGTTTCATATTAACATGGAACAATATTCCATGTTAATATTCACAAATAATTTCGAAATGTAAAAAAAGAGAAAGTTTATCTGGATTTCATATTAACATGGAACAATATTCGACATTAATATGGAACAGGAAACCCAAAAATATCCACTTAACTTTGACCCAGTTTAAGACAATTGAACGAAACGACAAACATCAGGTTAGGGAAGGGCATTCTGGAGGCTGTTACCTAGTGTTGGGTGAGGCCTCCCCAGAGCCTGACTTTGCTCTTTTCTTGCATCTGTTCTTCCTTCTTCACCTCTCTCTCCCTGTGTCTCCTGCCTTGCTGCAGGCTGAAAACTTCGGTGGATGCTGTGGTTGCCATCTGTGTGATTTTCGCCATGTCCTTCGTCCCAGCCAGCTTTGTCCTTTATTTAATCCAGGAGAGAGTGAACAAAGCCAAGCATCTCCAGTTTGTCAGCGGAGTGAGCCCTATCACCTACTGGTTGACCAACTTTCTCTGGGACATTGTAAGTGTCAAGTGATCACGGTGCCTCCCTCCCCTCCATTGTCCCAAGAGGGATGGGCACTGTGTCTGCTCCGACTGAGGGGACACAGCAGGGTGGGGCTCTCACACTGCCAGGGCTGCTGGAAGACGCTGTATCAAGGGCCTCGTATCTCCTGGCATCTTTTTAGAAAGGCACAGACCTAGGAGCCCTGAGCTGGGGAAGGACATGGGGCTCAGCTTAACAAATGCTGAGTAGGGGCTCTGCATGCCCTACCCAAAGGGGCCTTCTGACTCACCAAATAATCACTGCACCGCAGGTATGAGGCTGGCCTTTCTGGGAATAATCTGGAGCTGAAGAGGTAATATCAAGCAATCCTTCATCTCACATCCTCTTCTTAGATCCTGCCCTATCCCCAAAGGGGTAAGGAGGGAACTTCCCCTGTGACAGTCACCAGATACATATAGGACACCCAGTTAAATTTTAATTTCATATAAACACTGAATAATTTTTAGTATAAGTATGTTCCACCTCCAAATATTGCATGGGACATACTAAAAATTAATTGGCTGTTTTTCTGAAATTCAAATTTAACTGGGCATCCTATATTTTTATTTCCTAAATCTGGCAACCCTGCCTACTGACTTTATTTTGCTTTCCCAAAGTAACCATACTTTTCCTATATTGGTTTACCTACCACATTAGGGAAAATGAAGAAAAATTATTTACCAAATCAACAGCAGATTATTACCCCTCTCACAACCAGGATTGGTAGAGGCAGGGAGGGGTCAGGATGGAGTACTTCATGACAAAGAGTCAAAATTAATTGGCATCAAAGACCTATTTATAATGTAGCAGGGATCATTATGACACCAACTCCAGTCCATTCTGGGTGTCTTGAGTAACAAAATCCTTTGTTTCATTTCAACATTCTAAGACTAACGTGAGTCCCCGCGCCCTGTGGTGATAAGATACATCATGATGGAGACCAACACAAACAACCTTCTCTACTATGGCTTTTAACAATGACAGTAACTATTAAGATTCTCAAAGACATGATTTAGTTTAGCTTACCTGACCTGTTAAGCAGCCATCGCTTAACAATTCCAAACCAGAAATTATCGGTAGCAACTAAATTCTTCCCTTTCTTTTCTGTCTGTATGAAAAAAACACTTATGAACATATGAGGAGGAGATCAGATTCTACAAGCCTCACTTTGAACAAAAACATCACTTATAGGAGCCCATGTTGGCTAATATATTGTTTTTTCACTCTACTTTTTGTAAAAGATGAAGAATAGAATTTACTCTGGGGGCTGACCCAAGCACACACCTGGCTCCAGACAGAGATCTTTGAGCCTAAGGAGAGATATGTGGATAGAAGGACAGAGTGGTGTCTTGTGGGGCAAGTGATACTAGCAAGGTAGACCCTTGGGAGTCCAATGAAGGGATGGAAAGTGGTGGGTAGGATGTTAGTTAGCAGGCTTCCTGATGCTCTAGAATTTTAAGGCTGGCCTAGACTTTGAACTCTGGCATCTATATTATTGGAGTTTAGCACCCTAATTAGTCAGTGGCAAATAGATGACACATGCCTAGGGGTTGTTACTGAATTAATGAACATACATTCCCTGTTTATATCATTTAGTCAGCATATAGATCTTAAATTCTTATCTTTTTATACATGTCATCTATTCTATTTTTTAATTTTGAAACAATCGCAAACTTACAGGAATGTTGAAAGGACAGTTCAAAAGTTTGTTTTAGAGTCATTTGAGAATAACTTTCCAATAACATGCCCCTTCACCAGCACCTCTGGTGTGTACCTCCTACAAAGAGACACCCCATGCAACCACAATACACAACTGTCAACATCAGAAAACCGGCACCAGTGCTTTCCCTCCATCTAATCCTCAGACTCCACTCAAGTTTCATCAACTGCCAAATAATGTCTTTTATAGAAAAGGATCTAGCTCAGAATTATGCACTGCACTTAGTTGTTCTGTGCCTTCACCTTCGGCCAGAAATGGTTCCTCAATCTTTTCTTGACACTCATGACCTTGACATTTTGAAAAATCACCAATTATTTTGCAGAATGTCCTTCAGTTTGAATTTGCCCCATGTTTCCTCATGATTAGATTCAGGTTATGGAAGCAGCATCACAAAGAGATGCCCTGTTCTCACTGCATTCTATCAGGTAGCTTCTGCTCCCAATTTATCTTATTACTGATATTGGTCACTTTGGTCACTTGATTAAGATGGTGTCTGTCAAGTTTCTCCACTGCAAAGTTACTCTTTTCTTCTTTACAATTTATAAGAATTTGAGGAAGAGGTACTTTGAAGCAATGCAAATATCCTTTTGTTACACCTTCCATTTATTTATTTATTTATTTGTTTGTTATATTTATATGGAATCATGTTTCCTGTGTTAGTCAAAAGATTATAATATGATACCATTATTATTTATCCTGATGCTCAAATTATCCCCAGTTTGGCCAGTGAGAGCTTTCAGGGTGGCTTCTGTCTCCTCTTGACTCATTTCCCCGTCCTCCTTGAGCACCTCCATGCTCTGTGGGACAGTAAGACGTTCCAAGCTCATCCTCCACCTCCCCCAGCCCTACGTGGAAGCTGTCATTTCCCCCACAGAGCCCTGGTTCCTTCCAAAGGAATGTGGCCCTCAAAACCAAGATCTGGGTACCAGATGTGTTCATTGCCACTGGGGTCTCAGTAGTCCCGGGCTTTCTCAGTGTAGAGAACTAGAAGAAATATATATGTATATATATAGACAAACACTCATTTACATCTATATTTCTCTATCTATCTCTATACCAAACACTATGAGCTCACTAAAACCCCTATATCCAACCCAACGCTATGGGTTCATTCTGGCTTTCTGGCTTTCCATATTTGTAACTCCCTTCTCCAAGAGTGAGAAAATGGCTCTATTACTCCTGGTTTCTATCATTGACCTACCTGAACAATACGCCTGGATGTAATAAGTCCCCCATCTCTCCCACCATCTCCTCCCCAATGTGGACACCCTCCATACTCTGCTTCAGTTCTGATACCCAGGGCCAAATCAATACTCTCATCACCCCACCAGCCCGCCCTCTGCAGACACCCTCCTCACCTTCTCAGGTTCTCCTCCTGCTCAGGACCACTGTCACTCCTCCCCTAACTCCAATGTGGCTGTTTATCTTTCCCTGTCCATCCTGATGGCTTTAGGATTGAATTATGTTGGAAGGGAAGAGAATAGAAAAAAGCAATGATAGGGTATCATCTATTTGAGCTTCAGGAGGCCGAGGACTATATCTTAAGTTTTTCCAAATTCTGAAGACATGCTTAGAAAGTAGAATCAACCAGACTTCATGACCAATGAAAAAAAGAAAATGAGAGATCAGGTGGGATTTTATAATTCATTCTTTTAAAAGATACAGACTGAAGGTCCCCTGCGCAGGGAGGTGGGGTAGGAGGACTAGGGACAATTTAACATATGTTCGCTAAGCAAGAACTGTTTAGACAAATAGAATCAGACTATGTATGCTGGAGGAGCCTGGCCGGGCCTTCATTTGACAGAACAGGAAATAGAGATAAAGAGAGGTAAAGTGCTTTGCATTCCCCTTTTGTCTTCAAGGTGAATTATGCTGTGAGTGCTGCCCTGGTGGTGGGCATCTTCATCGGATTTCAGAAGAAAGCCTACACTTCTCCAAACAATCTTCCTGCCCTTGTTGCACTGCTCATGCTGTACGGGTGAGTTGTTTGAGCCATTAGCTAAGCCACCAAAAGGGGAGCCGGGGGAGGGGCATGTTCTTCTGACAGAAAAACAGGGGTTTCTGGTGGCAAGGTTATCTTCCAGGCCCTGGCAGGGGCTGTGGCTGCTGCCTAGGTTTCTGTCTGGCTTCTGTTTCTTACTCTACCCATAGAGGTGTTTCTGAGGCTCCATCCACTCAGGGACATTGAAGACACCCCACCTGGCCTGAATCTTCTTTCAGTCGAACTATGCCTAACCAAAGTCTGGGAATCTGTCACTCCCCAGTTCCTCACCCAACTGTGATTCCGATTCATCTGTGGCCAACTGTTCATTGCAGTGTCTCCATGAACTAGCCAAGAGTTACGTGCATACAGTAGAAGACTCCATCTGAAAAGCTATTCCTGAGTCAGGGCCAAAGGATGTCACAGAGATTAAATCTAGTATTATTATAGAGCAAAGCAGGCAACTTTATGTTCAGGCCTACCTGTGTAACTGTGGACAAGTAATTCACATCATCTGGGCCTTAGTTTCCTCATCTGTAAAATGGAGATAATGATACCTGGCTCTTCCTACGTGGGCCAGTAGAGTCTTAGCAGAGCAAATAGTTTACATTTGTCTCTCTTGAAAATAGAGAAAATAGAGAATTCAGGAACCAGTGAACTGTGACAGTGAAACACGAAGATGAGCTCGTTGAGATCTCAGCTCAGTTTTGCTGATCCAGATTAAAATAAAAAGCGTTGCAGGACAGAGATCGATCTTGTGCGTTGTACGAGGCTTTATAATTTACAATGTACATTCATAGCTGCTATCTTATTTGCTGCTCTCAAAACCCTCATGAGGTGGTCAGGAAAGGCATTATTATCTCCACTCAAAGATGAGGAACAAAGACCAAGGGATGGAATACCTCTTTGGTCCCCCCGGGATTCTCGCCAGTTTAAACATGGCACCTCATATGTGAGGGGAATGTATTATAACTAGGGATACAGCAGATGGAATGGAAATTGGCACTGTATCACACTGAATTGTGTCATTTCACACAGATGGGCAATCATTCCCATGATGTACCCAGCATCCTTCCTGTTTGATGTCCCCAGCACTGCCTATGTGGCCTTGTCTTGTGCTAATCTGTTCATCGGCATCAACAGCAGTGCCATCACCTTCATTTTAGAATTATTTGAGAATAACCGGGTGAGCATGACTTTCTTGCCTTTCTTATTTGATTACTAAGATACCAGAGAGTATGTGACAGTCAAGCAGAGCCAAGTGATGGGCAAGCATTGTGTCTGAACAAGCTTAGTGCACAAGTAAATGTTGCTTCTTCCCTCCCTCCCTTCCTTCCTTTCTTTTTCTTTAAGCTCCTTGTTCATGTGTGTGCTCTGAATGTCATGGTTTTCTGAGCTTATTCTGTAAGCTATAAATGACATTCCATCGTCCTAAGCTTTTAGATTTTCTTACTCCTTCAAGAAGGTTTCCTTGGGGACTTTGGGTGTTAGGTTTTCTACACACACACGTAGGTAATGCATTCATGTGATTTCAAAATTTAAAATGAACAAAAACATACACAATAAAAATCTCCTTTCAACCCCTGTTTCTCAGGTGTCTAGTTCCTTTCTCCAGAGGCAACCTCTCGTTTGAGTTTCTTATGTAGTCTGGAGACATATAAGCAAATATAGATACATTCTTTGTTCCTATTTTTTATGCAAGTAGTAACAGAGTAACATATACTCTTCTACGTGGCAATTAATCCTGAGGACGGGATTAGGAATTTGTGGTGCTGAATGACTCACTTTTATGAGCAGCAGTGTTCAGTTGTCCCAGCCACACCTCCCAATCTACTCTTTTCTCAGGAAGAGCTGGCCAGACGGAATCCTAAATACAATGGCAGTGGCTACAGGGCCATCTTCACTACACACTCCTACTTCCAGCCTGCTGTGTCTGAGCCCCAGCCATGGCTGTCCTAAGGACTGATGGTCTCACCCACGCGCCTGTGTCCTCAGTGACCTCTCTAGCCTTTCTCTCCCTCATTAGGTCTTCACAGTTCAGAGGGTGGGCGCCAGCCAGTGCATCTGCACTGCTGTCCTGCAGCCCCTGTCCCCAGTCCTGCTTCTGGACCTGCTGGGAATACCCAAGGCAAATCTGCACTAACCACTCCATCCCATGGCCTCCTAAAAATGACTCTCCCCCGGCCTCATCAGGCTTTCTCCGGCCACTAGGAAAGAAACAAAACCCAATCTGTCCCATGTCACAGTTGGACCCCAGAAGGGAGATGGATGAGAACACAGACTCCCACCCCCACCCTTCCAATGGTCAGAGCATCCTAGTGGACTAAAAATGCTGCCTTTTAGAGCTGTTTTCGTCAGAGGCTCACAGGCTCACAGCCTGCTAAGTCTTAAGAGAATGTGTTACCTCGGAATAATTAAAAGTGGGCTTAAAGCAACTCAAAACGTTCTCTCTCCTGCAAGCTACACTCATTTAGCCAACATTTACTGAGTGCACCCTCATCTCCTGCATAAAAGCTAGTTGCTTTAGCATATATGATCAGATAGTTGCTGCAGAAATATTCAGTACCCCACAGAAGGTTCCCAGGTCCCAGTAGCTGCTGTCCCTACTCAGTTAAGAGGTGTTGACTAGGTGAACACCATGTGATGGATGTGCTGATATCAATAAGTGTGACCCATTCATCCTGCCTTCCCAGACCTCCCATTCCAGTCAAGAAATGACCTGAGCATCAGATTAGAAACTAATACAAACCAGTGGTCCCCAACCTTTTTGGCACCAGGAATCGATGCTCCTATGAGAATCTAAGGCCTGATGACCCAAGGTGGAGCTGAGGCAGTGATGCTAGCACTGGGGAGCGGCTGCAAATACAGACGAAGTTTTGCTCGCTTGTCCGCCACTCACTTCCTGCTGTGTGGCCCAGTTCCTAACAGGCCACAGACCAGAACCGGTCCACAGCCCAGGGCTTGGGGACCCCTGATATAAACCACAGTACATGACATTTCATATGCCATAACAGCAAAGAAGCGAGACACATGAAACACTACAGAACAGAGTGAGTACAAAGACCTAGGCTACAGGAGCCAGAAGGAAATTCAGTTTGAGCCTGGCCTGGAATAAGTAGAATTTTATTAACTCATTTAATAAATAATGATGTGCCTACCATGAACTAATCATTGTACAAGGTATGTAGGAAGGACACCAAAATGATTAGGATCTAGTCCATGTCCATCAGGGACCACTGATCCATGGAGAAAGTAAGCAGGTAAAAAAATAATAAACCTTGGCAATGTGGGAAGTGTTATAAGAGAGGAGTGTTTTACCATGGTAATCTGGAAAGGCTTATGAGAGAAGGGATTACTGGAGCCAGTTTTCTAAAGAATGGCAGGAATCTGTCAGGGCAGAAAGCGAGAGGACCTTCATCCCTGCTCTGGTCAACAGAAGCTGCAAGTGCAAAGGCCCAGAAGCAAAAGATCAGAGTGGCTTCTGGAGGAAGGATGGGGGAGACCATGGGACATCATTAGAGAGATATGAGGTCATGTAAGCAAAGGTGTTGGGGCTGGACAGGGAGGAGGCTTTGCAGTGGGGATGGGCCAGATGAGTGGGTAGCAATGGCCTTTTCAGCCTCACCCCCTTGGTGTCCCGTCTGCCTTCTTTGGGGAGGCTCTGCCTGACACTCTGAGGCTAAGACAGCAAGCAGAGTCTGATCACCTGAAAACAAGTCCCCCCAACTCAACACAGACACCAGAGTCTTTATCCTCTTTTCTCTTGGTGACAGCCACACGCAGCTGTAGGTGTCTTGTGGGAGCTGAGAAGCAGAGCCAATAGATGCTCAGGACCCCTCTTCCCTTTGGTATAAGGTGGGCTAAGGTAGAGCAGATGAAAGAGCCTCAGTCCCCATTGATGGCTCCCACCTGTACCAAAGAAAAGAGAGCTCGGGCCATGTTCCCACATCTGCTGCTGCATCTTCTCGTAATAAATGCCTTGGAGGGTCCCTGTGTAATTTCAAAGTGAGTCTGCCTGTGCAAGTTCCCCAAGGGGCCACTTGGTTAGAGGCACCTCCTGTGAGTATTTCAAAACTTCCCTATCTGGTTAACAAATCTCTCCTGTGGCCAGTCTGGCTGCTAAGCCCCCTCTGTCGGAAGGCCTTTCTCTAGTCCTGCCCAGTGAGGGCATTCAGGCCCCACTTTGCTTAGGAGGTGGCAGGTGGATTTGAGCCCCATGCTTGACTGTCCTGCTTTTCTGTGTTTCAGACGCTGCTCGGGTTCAATGCCATGCTGAGAAAGCTGCTCATTATCTTTCCCCACTTCTGCCTGGGCCGGGGCCTCATTGACCTGGCGCTGAGCCAGGCTGTGACAGATGTCTATGCTCGGTTTGGTGGGTGGCAGTCAAGTGTGGCCCTGTATCTTCCAAGACCGGGAGGGCTGCTGCTCAAGATCTTAGGCCAGACTTGCAGCCCGGGCTGGGGTGGGAGCGGGGAGCTCCTAGTTGGTCTGGGTTGTCCTGCCATCTAGAAGGGGGCTCGGGTTGCCTGTTTCTTTGGCTGAGGAGCCACAGGAGGAGTCGAGGGCAAGCCTTACTCTTCCCTACTCTGGCTTGTGGAGCCAAAACGAGATTTGGATTTGACTCTTGCTTAATCCCTTGTCTAGCTGGGCTGTGTTGTAACTAGGCCTTTAAGGGCAGCTGAGGCAGCCAAGTGGACTTAATTCCTGTCTCTCTCCGATGGCCTCCGTCCCCAGGTGAGGAACACTCTTCAAATCCGTTCCAGTGGGACCTGATTGGGAAGAACCTGGTTGCCATGGCAGCAGAAGGGGTGATATACTTCCTCCTGACCCTCCTCGCCCAGCACCACTTCTTCCTTACCCAATGGTATGCCATGCTGCTGTCCTGAGGGTGCCAAGGTCCGGGGACTTGGCTTCATTCATATCCACGTGGTCATCTTTTTCCTCATTAGCCCCACACCATGATAGTTTTTACATTCTCAAGCCTGTCTTGCTCTGAATAACACAAGAAGATCACATTAAAATAGGCACAAGAGAATTTGTGAAAAAAAGTAAACTTTAAAGTATTTAAAATATACTGTTGTTAGTTTCAATCGCTAATATTTAATCCCTCTCATTTAATTAACAGACACTCATTTTAAATTGGATGATAGCATTGCAAACAATAATGGTTAAGGGGGATCCAAAGTACTAGAAAATAGCTGTGCGTGTTCATGAGAAGATAGACAAAGCAGGCTCCTTTGCTACTTGGAGATTTGAGAGTGGGGACCGGGCAAGAGAAGGGAGTAATAACGGGAGAGACATGAGATGAGTGGAGCCATGAGCAGTATGAAGGAAGAAGGACAGTGATTGTGCCCCCTCCCACCCCATAGGGAGGAAGTGGCTGCCAACCATGACCCTGCCTAGCAGTTCCATTCTTCCCAGGCTCTTGCCCCAGACCCTGCCTCATTCTGACGTGGGCACTCAGGTTTCTAGAAGGCAGCCCCACTGTAATCCAGGCTGACTTTTACTGGGCCCGGCCCAGGGGACTAAACTGCAAATCATTGGGCCCTCAGAATAAGCTTTCCTAGACAATGCTTGTCTCTTATCTTTTCATCTTCTCAGGCTGAGTCTGATTATTTATAAATAAAGATTGAGAAGACTTGTTTTTAGTTTTGGTCCACAGGGAACTGAGTTACTGGATACGAGTCCTCCTCCCTACTCATGGGGTTGTGAGGAGTGGATGAGATGATGGGGACTGGAGCCCAGGGCTGACTCTGGACTTGAGCACTTGCCCTCTCTGCCTGATGCCTGATGCCTGATGCCTCTCCTGTTGGGAGTCCTTTTGAGAATTCAAGTCTTAAGGGATGGAAAACCAGCCTGGGGAAGCAGTGAGGGAATGGGAAGAAGAAGAAGAAGGGGACAGTGCTGAGGATGCTGTAC